TAGGCAAAACTGACCTCCTATTAGGACACAAGGTCTACAGAAAATCCACCCACATGGACTGGTGCCTACACACAAATTCCAACCACCACCCATGACAAAAAAGAGGCATAATCAAAACACTGGTAGACTGTGCAAATCAGAACTGTGAAGCTCAGTTTCTCAGCACTGAACTCAACCATCTGAATTGGGCCCTACAGGCGAATGGCTATTCCAAGAATGAAATCAAAAGAGCCATCAAACCAAGAAAACAACACCAAACAGCCACCCACAAATAAAGTATTTCTGCCATACATCAAAGGGGTCACGGACTGCATGGGGAAACGTTTGAGAAAACACAACCTACAAACAGTATTCAGATCCACCACAAAAATACAATAAATGTTACGGTCAGCAAAGGACAAAAGGGGCCCCCTCACCACTGCAGGAATATACCAGATACCTTGCAGTTCTTGACATGTATATATTGGAACCACAAAACACAGCATTCACACCAGAATCAAAGAACATGAGAGACACTGCAGACTAAAACAACCAGAAAAATCAACAGCAGCCAAACATGCGCTAAAACAAGCTGGACATGAAATTCTATTTCAAAATACTGAAGTACTGGTCAACACCAGCAGTCATTATGTTAGACTGCACAGGGTAGCCATTGAAATCCATAAACACTTGCAGAGTTTCAACAAAAAACAGGAAAGTCTAAAACTGAACAAGGCCTGGCACCCAGCCACAAGGACCAGGGATCATTGCACAAAAAGGACCAGCTAAAGACATCCATCAATCACAGTGACAGATAATCTCTCCCCCTTATCAAAACAATACATCCACAACAAAAACACGCTGATCACCATCATCACCCTATCTCCTGAAAAAGATAAAAACTGTTCCCACAGCTATAAATAATCACTATTCAACAAACAGCAACAGAGCATGGACAGAGTTCCTACTCTTGTCCTCTGAAGATGCCGGCTACAGAGACTGGCAAAACATCAGGAAGAACAACCTTCAGAACACAGCCAAAGAGCCCAAAAAAACCCACAACAACCATTGGATCCCGGCTGCAAAAGTCTTCAAGAATACGAAGATGAAATTCCTTGCATGAATATTTCCAGAACCAGGAAATGTAACCCTCTTTCCCGCTGGACTACAGCTCCAAATTGCCATGCTGGCTGTGGTCTTCTGGGAGATCTAGCTGGAAAAAAGTAATTTTGCCCATTTCTGACTATTCTCGATTTCTTAATATCCACCCATATTTTAACTCATGCACATTGATTGTGCTACAAATGTTTTAAACTAAATGACATTTCTTATTTTTTGTTCATTTTCAACAACTAAGTATATAGGAAAATGTTAGGTGCTTGCACTGTCTCCACAAAAAAACAAACAAAAAGAAAGTGAGTCCACTTCATTGGATGCAGGTAACCTTGACCAAATTAAAGTCAATGGACGTTTTTTAGGAACAAGATTCAGAAGCTCAGATGTCTTTGGAACTTATGCTTCTCTGTTTCTCCTGCTAGTCCATCAGCAAAACCCATTTGCTCCATTAAAAATCAGTTTTGTGGGTAGTTTGAGTTTTCTGGGAAATGACTGTGATGAGTGAGAAATAGAGAAATAGTGCGTATCATTAATTGTTGTATACATAACACACAAAGTCTGTTGTGACAGTTTGTGGCAGATGTGGCTGGAGAACCATACATACACACCCTGCTTAGACTACAAGCTGACCTAGTTACACCCAGAGTACTGTCACTACTCTAAATAAAGCCACATATTCCTCCAAAGATTAATCTATTTTTGGTAGTGCATATTACAGTTGGCATTCACAAGACAACTCTAAGAGCTACTCCATATCCTGGGAAAATCAACACTCATGGACTTCTGTTTCTTACTCATCGCGGTCATTTTCCAGAAAACTCTTAACTATCCACAAAAATGATTGTTAATGGGGCAAATGGATTTTGCTGATGGACTCTCATGAGAAACAGAGACATTGGTTCAAGAAACATCTGAGCTTCTTTTGAATTTTGCCCCTAGAATAACTTCTGTTGATTTTAATTCAGTCAAGACCACTTGCTGCAACAGACTTACAGAACTACACCTTGCATAGCTCACAAATTTCTTCAGCTTCTGCTGGCCACCATTCTTTTCTCCATTCCAGCTTTGTTATCAGTATAAAAACTAAATGCATGGTAGTATATCAGATGCCCTGTGTTATCACCTCTGTTCAGTGATACAGAATCTTCCTGCACTGGAATTGTTACACTGGAGATGCAGTGTGTTCCAAAGGGGTTGAGCTTGCATTAAAAATTAGCAGAATATTAGTACAATTCCCTGTTACAAATCCTGCTGAGACACTATTGCATAAGAGCACACTTCTGAGTAGACACAGATTTGAGCTGTGCTTTCATATGTTCGGTGGGGAAATGTCTTGCACACTCTGCTTTGGCTTCTCCCAGTGCCTTTAGACCTGTCCAATCTTAGAATGCAGCCCTTGAAACCTATTTTTAAATTGGAATTTGGCCCCTGTGTGAAAAACTATTCCACACCTCCTGCTAAATAGCTTAGTGAGTCAGGTGTCATCTGCAGAACCAGAGATTGGAAGTTTGATTCCCCGTTGTGCCTCCTGAGCCAGCCTGTGTAGCCTTGGGCAAGCTGCAGCCTCAGAGTGCTCTCCACCCCCATTAAGGGAAATGGTGAAGTTCTTCTGAGTATACCTAGAAACCCCTAGAAGGGGTCTCCATGTGCCAGAATTGACTTGACAGCACATGTATTAATTATTATCATTATAATTTTGATTCAGATCAATCACAGATAGTATTTTAGGGAGGGAAAAATGCTACTGAGGGTGGGAAAACAAGGAAAAGGTGGACTTTTTTCTGCACATTGACATACTAACATGCCACTTCATAAACAAATTAGCTAGTATTAACATAATTGTCTCTCTTTATTGATGAAGATTTGCCTTTGCTTGCCTTTATAACGTGAAAGTACAAGGTCAGGAAAACGTTCCAAGAAAATAAATAGAGCAGTCAATCTGCTGGAAATATAATAAAAGATATCGGTATCATATTCTTGTAATAGTGTCTGGTCATTAACCGGAATAACTGTTAATAATGCATTCTCACTGAACTGTACAACAAGCTTTCTTATCCAGATATCCAGATATAGGTATTATACAACTCTGTTCATTTGGCCCTCAGCATACCTTTCTATGGTTTTCATAAACCACAACGGAAAGCCCACAATATTAGATCAATAATGAATACCAGCAAGAAGATAGGATAGCTTTGTATGACATACATAAAAGCAATGGGAGTCTGTGAATTATCTAATTCGTTCACATGTATCAAGGCAGAAGACGAGCTTTAGCTAATTACAATAAATAAGTGTTGATAATTGCTAAGGAACAATGTTTTTTTCTAACAATGAAATTCTGGGCTTTATGAGAAAATTATCTCACTTCATTGTGCAACATTACTCTGAGAGAAGACATGAAACAAAATTATCTTAGTACAATATTGTTTCTAATTAAGAAACGGTTGTAAAAATAAAGAAATTACCATCCTGTTATTATTTGAAATACAATTGTGTCTTTTTGGTTTGCCATTTTTTTTTCCATCTTAGCAAGCAAAGATGGAAAAACCATTTCCTGGTCCTTTCTTAACAAAAGCAGAAAAACAACAATTCAATACACAAATTCCAGCTCATACTGGTGTGCATTCTGCCTGAAATATGCAGATTTATGGAAATGGTGTCCTGCATATTTGTGGTGTGTAAGTGACTTTTAATGAACTGTTGGTTCAGTTTGCCATCCAGTATTCCCCACTGACCCCTTGAATTCTAAAAATAAGCATTTGCTATGAATATTGTACAGAAATTTAGTTCAGGTCTTCAGCTGATTTTGAGTTTTGAGAGCACGTGTAGCCACTTAGTGATCTCATACAAAGTGTGGACTATGCATATTTCCATGCACAAGTTGAGACAGTCTGGACTAGCAGAAACAAATAATTCAACAAGTATTCTTGATAGCTCTATGTCTAAGTATAAAAAGCTGCTAAAATAGTTAACACCCCAAATTGTTATTTATTATTTCTCCTGTCTTTTCTTCCCAAAGAATTTATATCCGTATGCATTGGGGTCTGACTTTTGATTCTCAGACCCTTCATGGGCATTAGACCACTGTGCCCAAGACAATTCAGGGATCTTTATGTGAGAGCATGAGTTTGAAACTCTGTCTTTTCATTCCAAGCATTCTAGAAGTTATAACCACCTTAGCTATATGAGAAGCTGGCTGGATAGTTTAGAAATTCCCTCCTGGGAGAAAAGCTAGCCTTTTCTCCCAGGAAAAGTGGCTAAATCTTAAAGAGCCTTCAAAAGAAGGGAACGGTAAGTCAATTCCAATTACTCTATATCTAGAAAGTCCTGGAAAGGGTCACCATAAATTATAATCCACTCCTTGGCATGCATTAAAATAGGCTGTCAGAGTTATTGCAAATATGCGTGGAACACACCATTTTCAAACACAAGTATTGAGGGCAATGCAACACTGGAGGCCAGAAGATCATTACATCTATTCCTTGGCTTTAAGTAATCAATTGGTGGCTTCCAAATCTAGTTCATGGACATTCTTTGGCACTAATAATGCTGTAACAGTTTGAAAAAGTCTGCTCATACAACATAGTCCTCTTGAGTGATGGTGCTACCTGACAGAGAGCATCTCACACACTGGGCCACTTGACAGAGAGCATCTGACACACTGAAATCTCCCTCCCCTTGTCAAGTGTAAACATGTGGTAAGATGTGCTAAGATGTTAGCCTGACCTTGTCTCTAACATGTACATTTTTTTTCTATATGGAAGAAGATTTGGATGTGTGGCACATTGCAAAACATTTTACCACTGAGGTACATGCATTCATTAGAGATAAATTCTCACAAAGTGTTTCAACAAGTTCTAATAATGCTACCAAGAAGGCAGGAAGCATGCTTATTTCTAACTAACCTGGAATAGGCTGGGGTGTTAATACCACTGCTGGAACAGGCCTTGGAGTAGTAGCTGGCCTAGATAATGCCACCGCAACTTGATTTGTTGTAACAAAAGGCTTCTCATGTCCCTGGTAAATTCGTAGTTCCTCGGGATGTATCCAGGCTGAATCCAGAGCGAATGCATTGTTTAAATAGATCTGCCCAATTTTGAAGGAAGACAAAGAAGATCAGAGTTCTGCTGACTGCTATAGCTTCTTAACTTCTCTAACACACATTGGGAAAGCTCCCCTCCCACCAGAACACATACTTCTTTTTCAAGTTGCCCTTGGCTGTCTGGAAAGATTGCAATTATCCAAAATCTTTGTGCTTCCCCAAAGTGATCTGATGTCCAAGCAAACCTTTGTAAATAGCACTGTCGGAACCAGTACAGCTTTAAAAATGTTGAAACTGAACTTTATTGCACTGATGAGGAGAGGAAAATAATGCTGAGATACTGTGGACAGTAAGTGAAATCCTGATATTCATAATGGATGAATGAATCCAGATGATTTCAGCATGCATAAGGAATCAGGGCAACCATTTATTTTGTTTGACAATATTGCACTCTCTAAAGGATCAGACTTTTTAAAAGGGTTGATCTGAACAGATGAAGAAGAGGAAATTATGATTAGCCAGATGCATATCTCATCAAGCTATCCAGCCAATTTTACTGTCTTGCATTAAGGGCTAGCAAAAAGTATTTTGTGATACACTTTGAGTACAAGAGTTCACTGTAATCTAGTAGTAAGTCACAACCAAAATACACAAATAAAATTGACAGAAGGCTTGACTCACCAAATCCCTACTGATTCAATGGGCCTACTTTAGTTGGGACTTACTACTGGATTTTAGCTCTATTATTTTCCTAGTGCTAAAGTGGGGTGAGCATATGAATAAAGATCAGTCAAAAAGAGACGTTTTATACAAAGGCAGTCACCCAGTTAAAGAAATCTTAATTAATTAATCATACACATTTCAGTTCACCAGTCAATTAATTAATCAGTTGAGCTTGCCTGTAGATAAAATGCTTGGGTTGCTTCCAGTCGTGTTTAGAGAAGAAACAGATAAATCAGTGGGATGTTCCTATTAATTTAGCCCCCTACTACTGAATCAAGAAACATAGTACAAGGTATACATCATAGCAGGCATCACAGAAGAAGCATTCCTACTATGGATAGGAAGGAATACCTCTTTTAGACACTGCTTGCCATTGGGGGTTTTATGAGTAAATAAACTAGAAATACTGTGTGTTGAGGATATTAGTTCTCACTGAAATCAGTGAAACAAGTTAGTGGGGAAATATGGCAAGGGGCAAAAATGATCTAGGGGGAACATCAACTTCCTTGTGAAGAAAGGTTACAATGCTTAGTACTGTTTAGCTTAGAGGAAAAACACATAAGAGGAAACATAATAGAAGTATATATTAATATGTGAGGTGTGGAGATAATGCATAGCAAAAAAAAAAGATCCTTGGTCTTAGCTAAAGAATTTTTTGTCCATTTCAGTGTCTCAAATTCTTCCTGTTCCAAACACAAAGAATTTTGCAAAGTTGGGTAAATTCTTGTAAAAATGAGCTGAAAAGAAATTCATTTCATGCTTATTATAATGATAATGTGTACAGTGTAATAGAACAAGCCTACAAGTCCGGAACTGTTACTACTAAACTACTATTTCACTCTTCACACTGAATATGTAAACTCACTAACAGGGATAAAGACTAGGCCAGGTACCCTGCCCTTGACATCATATCTGTCCCATGATACCTTCTAGTGGTTTCCACACATACAGCATGCACAACTAGTTGACTACACATACAGTTGCATATAAATTGAGTCCTCCATATGAGCTGTAACTCTTAGCACAAGGTTCAGGCTTTTGCAGACATGTACACACAATCTGAAGATTACAGTGGGGAAGTTGTGGCATTTATGCAATGCTGAGGCTGGGGTTATGTACTAGGATTTCACACCCAACTCCTGCAATTATGTATGCAGTATACTAAACCTCCTAATAGAGCCATGCAAAGACTTCAACTTGATGCATTGACTCACCCCACACTCCTTGTGCAATCAATTCTGAACTATTTCTTCACTAGCTTTAAATATCCTGAATATTTAAATATCTATGGGCATTAGAGATGGAATGCGATGATGACAGGTAAACCCATATAATTTCATGTGATCAGAAGTCCAGCCCCATCTACAACTGACTTCACCTTGTGTCCTATCACAAACTGTTTCCTTCCCTATTGACAATCACCCATGATTCTTCTAACAGCAGTTTAATAAACACACTGTGATACTGACATTCCTCACAAATCACTTAGAGACCTATCTGTTTCAGCAGCAATCACTGGTGCCTCTCATTACGTTATCTAAGAGTTCTGCTTCTAGAAAGTGTAATGTCCTGTACTCCATATAGATTATCCGTAAAAATAATTGCAATATACCGTATTTTTCCCCACAAAACAGGGGGGTGGAAAGTCTGTGCGTCTTATGGAGCGAAAAAAACAGATTATATTTTCCCGTTTTCTTCTCCTAAAAAATTGGTGCGTCTTATGGAAAGGTGCATCTTATGGAGTGAAAAATATGGTATTTCAAGGCCCTAGGAGGCAGCAGTCTCCAAATGATTATCCACTCTAGGGTGCTCCCCCCCATGCACTGTGTCCTCCCATTGTCTGAACTATGGTCACCTTCAAGCTTCTGCAGCCTGGGGAAGGTCACACATCATTCTCTCTGATTCTAAGGACCTGGATTCTAGACCAGGAACTGCAGCACTCTGCTCTCTCTGAGACTCTGTAGACATATCCAGCACTACTGAGGGTGGCAGTGGCAGAACAAGGACTGTTCCCCAAAGCCTCCACTACCTGTTCCTTGTTGTTGGAGGGCAGAACTTTACCATCCTGTAGCCCTGAAACTGGCCTGTGGGCCTAAACTGATTGCTCCTTTCCTTAACTGGCTTCCTGCTTGCCCATTATAGGACTGATACAAGACTTCATTGGAGGTTTTCAAACAGGGATTTGATCACTGCCTGTTAGGATTCCTTGCATTGGCAAGGAGTTGGACTAGCTAACAGCATAAATTGAAAACTGATTTTAAAGCAACAAAATATTCTAAATTTTGATTGGAAGTGAGAAGATAGGCGGGGTACAAATAAAATAAATAAATTCAGAAAGAATTGGAGCCATTTTGCATGGTCTCCAGAGGCATCCTGCTATGTGTGTGGTGTACATTCCTTGCCAGAGTGGTCCTGACTGGGTTTATAAATGGGTGGTGTATAAATCAAATAAATAAATAAATACATAGCCCTTGGGATTCCTTTCAATTCTGCAGTTGTAGAATTCTATGATTCCACTGGCAGTCCAGCTAGCTCCAATATATGTAGTGGAGCAGTGGTCCCCAACTGTGGGCCTCCAGATGTTCTTGGACTTCAACTCCCAGAAATTCTGGCTAGGAGAGGTGGTGCTGAAGGCCTCTGGGAGTTGTAGTCCAAGAACATCTGGAGGCCCAAGGTTGGGGACCACTGTAGTGGAGGGATGCCATCTTGCTTTTCATCTCAGGTTAAGAAAATGTCTGGGACCAGTCCTGTACTCATCCACAAAGCCTGGTTGAACACTGAACTGTGCAGCTGTGCTGTCTTCCTCTCTTTGTGTCCACCCATAAGCTGTTGATCTTCATAATCTTCTGTTCTGGTTTCTGCCTCATAGAGGAAGGCAAGCCTCTACCCCTTCCTGATGTTCCCCAGATGCAGTCCTCTTGGAATGGGGGCAACAGCGAAGCCTAGACCAATCCAATCTATTTAAAATGCCTTTTATTTTATTTTACTTTATTTGCACTGATTCTGATCCTTTCTTGTTCTGACTGAGTCAAAGTAGGGTAGGCCCTCAGATGTCATTCTTCAAAAAATACTCTAAACTGGCAGCTTAGAGAGTTCTCTTTTTTTAGATACAGGTCTGTTACAGCTCAGGTTCAAAAGAGATTTTGAGTCATAGGTACTTATCTGTCAGAGCACACAAACACACACACACAAACACACAAAGAGAAACACACACATACAAACACACAAACACACAGTATACACGTGGGGTGTGCCTTCCCACTCACTCCATGAATTACTCTTCCTTTTAAATGATTGTTTGGGTTCTCTCTTGATTCAGTTTGATTTGATTCTCTTGCCAAAAAGAAAAAATAAGTTCAAACTTTTCAAAATTAAATAATTTAAATGTAATGTTCAACTCTTAAGTGTAGAATACTCAACACAGAAAATTCAATATTAAAATATATAAAATATATAAATATAAACCCAATTTCGCATTCACATTAAGCAGTATAATTATAGTTCTTTGGGATTGCCTGTTTTTTTTCTGATGTTAGTGTATGTGTAAATAATGAGGTCAACTTCACCTTACCTTGCAGTTTGGTAGTCTTTTTTCTATCCAACTTTTCCCAGAATGGGGTGGAGCAGTTGTTGTGTATACGTGAGGAAAAAGAGGAACAAATTCCACATTTGAAGAAGGTGAAAATCCTATGACTGGAGAATGAGCTCCAAACATCCACTAGAATAAAATATTTAAAAAGGAAGCATAAGTCACTCCATGTAAGTCTTGTTACATTTTTATTGTTCAGGGATTTAAAATGTATACTATGTACGTGCTGTATGTATTTGGAAACACATACTGATATGCGTACTTTATAACATGTTTCTTTCAAAATGTGAAGAAAATAAGTTTATTGAGTTCAACATCCGGTATTACTACATATTGCATATGCAACAACTGTAATTACAATATTCGTGGTGCAGTGTGACTGTGAACCAAAATGCATATGTACAAAAAGTTTGTGTCTAATATTAAACTTAGCAAGTTTATCAAGTTGGTGAAGACTAGATGGGATCTGATTAGAACATATGTAAATTTGCCTATAATTTTAGAAGATAATTCTACTTTACTAGACTATCAAATTTCACCTTGAATTCTTTTTTACATGACACCTGAATTAAATCCTTCTAATGCAGAGGTCCCCAACCCCCAGTTTGTGGCCCGGTGCCATTCCATGGCCTAAGCCGGACCGGGCTGCCGAGGCAGATCTCCAACCCCCAGTCCGTGGCCCGGTGCCGGCCTAAGCCGGACCGGGCTGCTGAGGCAGATCTCCCCCCCATGCACTCACCCCCGCACAGCCCGTTTGTGGCTGCATGTGTGCTCCAGCATGCCCATGCAAGCACCGCGCTGCTGTTTGCACATGTGCACGAGCACATGTGCACCCAGACAAGCGCTGTGCTTCCATTTGCGCATGCGCATGAACGTGCCCACACCCGTGTGAGAGACTGTGCTTGTTTGCGCAAGTGCACAAGTGCGGGGAGGTGCTCCCGCCTTCCCCAGCTGGTCCATGAACCAAAAAAGGGTTGTCAGAATGCACTTCATCTCACCTCTTCACCATTGCCCATTTCTACCATAGTCTGTGTTTGCACCCTTCTGTGATGAATGTTGCATACATCTCATGTATTGCTCATTGTGAATAAAGCCTTGACAAACCACAGGACTGCACTGGCGTGATGCCCTTGGGTAGGTTTCAGTGCTTCCCTGATGCTACAGGTCATATCCTAGAAGCAATTGGTCATGTTATTATATTTAGTGTGTTAGTTAATGTTCTTTTTGGGTTACTGGGAATTGGAGGATATATTAGTTATATTTGTTTTTAACCACTCTGATAATTGTCCTGCACTAAGTTGAGTGGTATACAAATGTATGTTGTTGTCATTGTCGTTGTTGTCATCATCATCATCATTTCATTTTAAGGTTCTCTTTTCCTACTCAGTAGGACTCCAGTGATGCCAAGTAAATTATATATACTCTAAACAAAGATTGCAAAGATTTTCACTAATAACAGCCTTCAACAAGGAATTTGTTTTTTCATGAATTTACTGTGCACACAACAGCAAATGAAACAAAGGCACTATAAGAATGTCTCTCCCCCTTCACTGGAAACTTGTACTTCTATACTAAAGAAGCTTTTCTATATTTTGATGCAATGTCATGATTCAGCAGGTGAAAGCACTTTCAACCATTCCAGGAATGTGACCACACAATACTATGATCCATGTATATATATATATAGAATATGGAAACACATACTGGTAATATATTACCAGTATGTGTTTCCATCTATTTGCAGGAAAGCTAGAAACTAGTCAAAGAATGCAGAGCTTAGGAATTCTAAATGGAATATTGTTAAATGTATGTTAGAGGCATTAGGCATCCTTATTCCATAATTAGCATAGTCAGTTCCATAATTAGCATAGTCTATTGCATGTATTAAAATACCTAAGGCTCACCTCCAGGTTTCAAATATCTATTTTAAAACATGTAATCCTGAAAGCAATTTAAAAAAAAAAACCCATGTGAGAAGTATTGCTTAAATTAATATTTGGTCAAAACTAGTCTGTTAGAGAACAGCAAAGAACATCAGAGCAGAAGGCACTGAATTTAATTGCTTATGTTAGCATTTCTTTTATATCTCTGGCCCACTCTGTCACAATAGACTCCGAATGACGGAGGCAGGGTTAATCCTAATGAGCAGACTCATAAGCAGCCACCCACCTCCTTCCATTATTGAAATAAATATTTTGCAGATTTTAAACATGAAAAGAAATACAAGTTCCTAGACGTTAAGAACCTCTAGTGGCCGAATTCTGGCATAACAACTAGATTGGAGGAAAAAACTGTTGCAACACATCTTTTTCTAAATCAGTCCTGTTCTTACACCGGGAGAGAAACTAGTGGAGTAGACACAAATATTGTGGAATATTTAATGGACATATTTGCTTGTCCAACCTGCTGGAGTTTTCAAAGGGCAAAGATAGCTTTGTTTTCAGATAGACTGTAATGACTTGGAATCTGACAGTAACCTTTGCACAGCCTTTATTCTGGTGGACTTCACACAGCATTCTAGAATATATGGGAGACTGACTGTTATGAGAAAGAAGTATTCATCCCTAGATTTAAAAGTGGCATCAATTTACTGGCCAGTGTGTGGATTAGAATTCATCTGCAGTAGAAAGGTTCCTGTAATTCAGGTCCTTCCGTTGAGTTTCCCTTCCAAACGCTTCTAGATTCTGCTGTAAAATCATATCACTCAGGTCTTCATGAAAGAAAGAGAAGATCAGCAGGAGCTAGTATTAAACCAGTAAAAGGGCACTGATCTTGCTCACTAATGTAATCCCAACGAAATGCATCGACAATATGGTAAGGCTCTTTTTTTAAAAAAAATTCTTAAATGTCAAAAGCCTGCAATCTTGTTAGGGGAAGGCGCACGCATTTGGGGCGGTGTCCTGTAAACCTAGGGGCACCGCAAGCTCAGAGACTTTGCCCTGTCTCGGTATGGTTTGGAAGCGAAGCGGAACGAGCTCAGCATTAGCAATGGATGGGTATTAATAGTTAATGTGGTCTCCTCTCCGTCTTTCTCGCTCGCCACGTCTCTGAAAGTCTGGGGGAACCACGACGCAGTTCGTGCGCAGCTCAAGCGCGGCCGCCCGTCAAGCGGGGGAATTGGCGGGCTAACTTCAGCACCACGGCGCGCCGGACAGCGACACGCAAAGTTGTTCGGCATCCTTTTAGCCGGTGGTTTGCCTACGATTCCTAAGGAGCCTCCCCAAG